ATACGCTTTCTTTATATCTATATAGTATGCGTCTTGTGTATATTTACACCTCCATCTTCTCAGTGTTGTTCCACATGCTAATGGATTTGATTGTTCATTCGGTACACTCTTAATCAATGCATTCAAAGGTCGTAAATTCAACACTGGCCTTATTGGTGTCGTACTCTTATGCATCTGTATCTGGGGCATCAATGGATACGTAGCCCTCACACGATTTACTTCACACGGTTTGATGTATCCTTTCTCTATCCACAACTCTATTTCTTCTTTGAACATATACATTTGCTTTTCATCTAACTTATCTACTTGTCCCTGATAGAAAGGGACCCTTATTGATTTTTCTATTGGTTCCTCATCACTCCATTTCCATTTTATACTCCAACGATTATTTTTTCTCTCCGCTATAAAATCACTCTGTTCGATTCTCGCATTCCTTACCTCTGTTGATAAGCATACATCATTACTCACTACCTTTTTCGGATTTCTGATATATTGAATTTATTTCATTTCATCGCAATAATCCATCCCAACTAATATATCAACTTCGTGTCTATTCATCTTTATTATGCCACTTTCTGAATTTACTACTATACTATTCAACTCAACATCATCGTTAATTTTTAATACACATTTGCCGTAAATCTCAACAATTCCGGATAACGATATTATCCTCTCATTATCAATATCTGTTGTGTTAACAGCACAGTGAAGGTAGTCTACTACTCTTCGTGATACTAACGTCCTTGAACACCCTGTACCCAATACTGCAATTATTGTGCGGTTACCTAACACTACATATTTAGATGGATGTCCTACGAAGATGGCTTTGAAGATGAGTTCAACTGGAACTACAACATTGGGGGCTGAGCCGAGAACTGACGTCCTTATCAAAGCCGTTCTCGCCCTCGAGGACAAGATCGCCTCTGAAGTTAATGCCGCCTACTTTCGTTCTCTCGAACCGGTTGGCAACGCCCTCTACGATGCCCTTAAGGATGACCCGAAGTTTATTGATGCTGCCACTAACGCCGACGAATTTCTCACGGTCCTCGCGGGTGACTTGAACGCCCTACAACAATCACTTGCCGAGGATCTCCTATTCCCATATCCGACCTCCGCCGAGCCTTACCAAGGAACTTGGCTGTATCCAACGCTACGGTGCGGGTTTCTCTTCGCAGCTGCGAAGGTCACCGGTGCCCCTCTTGTAGGGAGGCAGAAATGCCGTGATGACCTCTCGACATGCGTCAACGTCTACCGCACAACTTTGCTACCTCCCAAGGATCCGGTGACCCCCCTTCCAGCAACCCCAGTCGGTACTGCCAATCACAACCGCGTCGCATCTACCCCTGACGGTTCCGGCCGTTCGGCTCTCCCGACGACTTTTTCCACAACGAGGTCCAACGTGGATGACGAATATCATCGTGGCCACCGGAGGGCCAAACAGCTCGCGGATACTTCAGGTTTAAAATCATTCAGCGGTTCATCTGATGACTTCATCCACTTCATTGACAGTGTTAAATCTATCCTTCTTACGGCCCCTTTCTGCTCGGGCGTAGCCAAAATCGAGTTCGTGTTTCTCCACCTCACAGGTGCGGCCAGAACGATGATGAGACAGATGCTGCTACAGCCCAGATCTACGCCCTTCCAGACGACCAGGGCTTCC